AACTCCGCATCGAATTCCAACATGATACTTCTTCACCTACGCGTCTAATAAAGATTAATCCACAATCGGGAGGCGGTGCGGTAGGAGCGTATTCAGGGCACGTTAGGGCTGTTCAAAGGAATTCACGAATGATGGGTAGCTTGTGACGATTCTACGGAGAGAATGCTCTCTTATGAATTCCAACGCGAAAAAAAGAAGTGCTGTTTCTTCCACCGATTCTCCTAGTCTAAATAAGGCCCATCTCACCGACGGCCTTCAAGTCGTATGTCATCCATTGGGACCCCATCTTTAAGATCAGAGCTCTATCTGTTTTCTGTAAAAAAATGGACGACCTCTCCCACACAAGATAGGTTCTGGATAGTTTCCGTTCGGGATGAAAAAACAACTAACCTCTATGATAGCGTCTCTCTTCTCTAACTCCTTATTTAACACTGCAATCTCTTCTTTCAGCTCCTTTACCTGCACCTTATTATCAGGAGTACCATCGCAGCATAAGACGCTGTCATCGAAAGACTGAAAGGGACAGAATGGGGTTCCTGTTCTGGCTAACGATCCCATCGAGATGCTGCTCGAATTTCGACATCACGTCTATGCATAGCGGACAGTTGTCAGACACTATATAAATTACTGATTCTGTAGAAATTCATAGCTAGCCGCCTGTAATTCCAAAATGAGCTGTTCCCACGCCTCTTTTCACTGAACCATGCTGATTGAAAACTTTTGCAGCTAGCTCAATACTTCTAATTCATACCAACGAATGACTGGTGGCCCCGAAATGCACTCTCTTCGGCCGCAGGAGTGCTACAGACTTGTTCGCTGCTAGTGCTACAGTCAGTTCGCGAGATGAGGCGTGTCATGAGTTAGGGTTGACGCGCCGCCATACCCGCCTTCCACCAGTTGTTGCCGCTTACCCACTTCAGCAACTAGCGAAGAACGAGCTGGTAGCGCGCCAATTTGCCTCACTGACACATCCCTCATACGCAGCAAACAAGCTGTATGGACCCGATAAACGCTACCTGACTGAGCTTCCAAGCTTTCCTCCACGAGCTGCTCTTTCTACATGAGAGGGCATCGTTCCTCATTAATTCTAATTCTCTCTTCATCATTGTCAGTTCCGTTTCCAGCCTTTCATTTTTCTTCTGCACAGCCGCATATCGTCTTTCAAATGAGAGTAGCGTTTGGCGCACCTGTAATCGGCGCATGCTTATGGTTCAGCTTTTCCGAATGGCCCTGTTTTAGCCTAAGAGCCTGTAACGGGCGCACTCACGGCGGCTAAATTGCTAGGCGCAGTGAACATCAGGTGTCGATTGGGTGATCTATATAGCGGCAGCACACGAGTCAGCCAACTGGTATTTTTTTGGTTGTTGACTCGACATACTATAGCAGTTTCTCGTTGAATTAACTGGGTCTCTCTACGAATGCTGCGCAAAAGTGCCACTCGCTTTGCTGCACCATCGCAACGTGTACCCAACCGACACATTCCTGAACACGCAACTTTTCACGAGCTCACCATCTTACCTCTAATAGTACCGCCTCAGAAGATCGCGTGAAAACGAAAGCAAACCTCTTGCAGCTCATTCAGTGTCGCCTGTAATTCTTCATTGGCGTTCGTTTCGGTGTTGTCTCCTTTTCCATTATGAGCGTGCGAAGTCAGCTGCTACAGAGAATACTATTAGGGAGGTAAGGTGGGTTCAAGAAAAAAGCATCAACAGGTCTTTGAACTGTCCATAACTTTCGAGTTTCATGTATCATGGCCTGATTGTGGAATATACTCTGAGTCTTTGCGTAAAAGATGTGTATAGACGGTGTCCCCTCCTTAACTGTGAATTTCACAAGAGCATCCTCTAGT